CTAAGAATATAGCACACATTGTATAGACTGCTTTTGTAATGCTTTTATGGTGTGTTTTTTGTCCTCTTTGGAGTTTGACAGATGATTATGAAGTGTTGTTGTATGGAAAAGAAAAAAATTAATGAGAGGGTGAGTAAATAATGACAGATTTTTCATATTCGGGTGAACTATTCCTTTAAGTTTAAGTTCGAAAGAGAACCTATGCTGTTGTTTTTCCTCTGTCCACCCCTGTGTCCCTTTCTAGTTTTCTATCTTGCAAGAACACAAAGCATTAAGTGACCAGGGGAAACAACAGCACCCTGCTGTGTCTTTTTCCCCTAGTGACTGATGATTTGATTCGTAGTTTTTTTCTGGTTGTGGCTTTACTGCAGTCATCTTTCCACAGCATGAAAAGTAGAATTATTTCTCTTTTTTTCTTCTTCGTACAAAGAATTGCTAATCTTTCGCTCTGTTTGGTCTCTTCTCGTGTGAATAATTAGAAAATGGTCACAGAAACATTGTAATACTGTGTCGGTGAGGAAATATTTATACCTGCTTGTCATTTTAACCTCTATTTTAGCCAGTTTCTTGACTGAATGTATGTTGTTTTGGAACGAGATCTTCTCAAAGACATGCTGGGGATGTCAGATGACGAGCTAATGAGATGTAATGAGGATTTGGGATGGTAGTGGCGAGATGATGTGTTGCAGTGGTTTAACGTCACCCAAAAATGAAAATGTAATGTTAAAAAAGTACCGTAAGTGCATGGGCCATATGACTCATATACTATATTCCTGAAGCATGAGTAAATAATGACAGAAAATACATTTTTGAGTCCCCTGAGTTTTCCATTTGTAAATGCAGAATGCATTTAGTAGTTCTCTTGCTGATTTTGGATGTTTATTTTGGACGTTTTTCCACAGTTTCCTCATGATTAATGTGTTTGTATTTGTACTCATTTATAAGCTGATTTGAATAAATGGATCTGCTAAATGAATAAATCTGCCATAACATGAAGGACGCACACGTGGTCTTCATTGGCTTCTTCAGTTTAATGGTTATACGTTATTAATGATTGATTCAGTAGAAAAGAAGTTTAGTTTAGTAGTTTCTGGAAGGGATTAGATGATCCTTTTGGTGGAAATGCACTGCTGATTTTTATAGTTATAAATAGGGTTCCCACAGTCATTCAAAATGTTAAAATTGTGATTTCCAGGCCTGGAAAGGTCTTAAAAGGTCATGCAATTTCTATAATATATTTATTTTATCTAGTCGCTCTTTTTTTAATTTAATTTTTCTTTGTGAGTGCATACATTCTCTATTAAATAATTTTGAAAAACCCTTACAAATGACTGAAAAAGTCCTAGAAAAGTCATGGAAGTTAATTGCTCCAAAGGAACGGGAACCCCGTGCAATGCTCATGGTATGTGTTTGTTTCTAAACCCAAACCCAAATTAGAGCTCAAAAAGAAGCATAAATCCTATTTTTGGCTTTTGACGGTCCGTGGACGATCTAACATGTTGAGTTGAACCTGCTGAATTAAACATATGCCTCCAAATACACCTTCGAGAAACATTCTGGAAGCGGTTCGGACCTTAGATTGCTGCTCCTTCATAAGTGTGTGCTTGTAAATCTGCTTTTGCTGCATGTGTGATTACAAGAGCTACATCTGTCAGTATACGTCTGTGATCAAGCAGCAGATTTGAAGACATCTGGTCCCTTCCTGGGTTTTAATGTACTACTAAACCCCTGCCAAATGGTGTTTTGCAGTTACATGTGTTGTTAATCCCATTTACTATGTGAAACTAGTGAAACAGTTCGAGGTGGGACCAATTAAACAGCCGTCCATTATAAATAAGCGAAAAGGGACGAAAGGTCGGGCTGCAGAATGAATGAGTCATGGAGTTTCTGCAACTCCTTTAAAAATCCTATATTCACATCCTATTATTGCTTCAAAAACAGTGAATGCATACTGTGAAGCACAAACGCTATTTTATTATGTATGAGTATTAAGAAGATTATTTGATTTATTCCTTAAACTGAAGTTCATAATTGTTATCCGAATCTGTTTTTTGAAAGTAATTAATACTTTTATCCAGCAGGGATGCATTAAATTGATCAAAAGTGACAGTGACATTTATAACGTTACAAAAGATTTCTAGTGACCAATCAGCATTCGGGACGGGAACCAGGACAGAATATATCACTTTTTATAATAAACATTAATCAGAAGTTAATTTTCTTGCTGTCAGAACAATGCATTAGGCTTTTACATTCAATTATAAGACCGTCTAATCTGTCTAATCTTTTAAAAATCAATTAAATCACAGTCATATTCTGGTTCTTTGAGTGTGCAGTATAGATCAGATGGTCTCTACGTACCTCTGTGAGAGTTTCTTTAGATCTGAAAAGCTCTTTTTAGTTTCAAGTGTTTGTTCTTAGTTTCTTGGAAACCTTCAGATTCTGTTGTAAATTCACTGCAGGGTCTCATTGATTTTTCCACATGAAGCCCCACTGTGGGCTTTAAGATCATCTAATTCGATTTAAGAGAGTACAGGTTCAAGTGAAAAAGGGGTGAGAAGAGATCGACAGGTTTCTCCTGGAAGTTGAAAACTAATGTGCAGTATGCAGTAAGAAGAATGAATTTCACACTTTATTCCACCACGTAAATTACATGCAGACCACAAACTGAACAGATTTTTATTCTAATTAGTGTAATACCATCAATTTCAGATAAACCCACCCTAAACATGTCAATGAGATGGTCGTTTCTTGATGAAGTGGATGGTCAGAGTGAAGTGACCCAGACTTTCTACTGTCAGAAGCCTGTTTGTGTTTGTGTGTGTGTTTTTACAGGAGGTTGTTATTCTCTGATTCAGCAGTGCTGTAATCTTAGTCATGAGTTTGTCATGTTCAGGTTCTGCTTAAGAAAGCACAGCTGCGTGAGGAGCGATCGAGTGCAGATGTTGGTAATGGTCTGATCAGAATATTATCTCAGCAGGGAGAGAGAGGAAGAGAGAGAATCCGGGCATCCTTTCCACAGGCTGAGGGATCTCTGCTGCCTGTCTTTGATCCGTGATCATTTGCAGCTGATCGTGCTGACTTAATATCTGAGTGAAAGTTGGCAGGACTTCATTTTGTGTCAGCTGAAAATTAGTTTTCAGTGAAAAATGACTTTTTAGTGAAAAGAGTTTTTGCACGTTAAGATACAGTGGCTTTACGCTGTTGCTATGCTGTTGCTAGGGTGCTCTGAGTGGCTTTAGACTGTTGCTGTGCAGTTGCTAGGGTGATCTGTGTGACCTTAAGCTGTTGCTAGGTGCTCTGAGTGTTTAGACTGTTGCTATGCCATTGCTAGGGTGTTATGAGTGGTTTTAGACTGTTGCTATGCCATTGCTAGGCTGCTCTGAGTGGCTTTAGACTGTTGCTATGCTGTTGTCAGGGTGTTTTTGAGTGGTTTAGACTGTTGCTATGTCGATACTAGGGTGTTATGAGTGGCTTTAGACTATTGCTATGCCATTGCTAGGCTGCTCTGAGTTTCTTTAGACTGTTGCTATGCTGTTGTCAGGGTGATCTGTGTGACCTTAAGCTGTTGCTAGGTGCTCTGAGTGTTTAGACTGTTGCTATGCCATTGCTAGGGTGTTATGAGTGGCTTTAGACTATTGCTATGCCATTGCTAGGCTGCTCTGAGTTTCTTTAGACTGTTGCTATGCTGTTGTCAGGGTGTTTTTGAGTGGTTTAGACTGTTGCTATGTAGATACTAGGGTGTTATGAGTGGCTTTAGACTATTGCTATGCCATTGCTAGGCTGCTCTGAGTTTCTTTAGACTGTCACTATGCTGTTGTCAGGGTACTCTGAGTGTTTAGATTGTTGCTATGCTGTTGCTAGGGTGATATGAGTGGCTTTAGACTGTTGCTATGCAGTTGCTAGGGTGATATGAGTGGCTTTAGACTGTTGCTGTGCAGTTGCTAGGGTGATCTGAGTGAATATAGATTGTTGCTATGCTGTTGCTAGGGTGCTCTGAGTGATTTTAGACTGTTGCTGTGCAGTTGCTAGGGTGATCTGTGTGACCTTAAGCTGTTGCTAGGTGCTCTGAGTGCTTAGACTGTTGCTATGCCATTGCTAGGGTGTTATGAGTGGGTTTTAGACTGTTGCTATGCCATTGCTAGGCTGCTCTGAGTGACTTTAGACTGTTGCTATGCCATTGCTAGGCTGCTCTGAGTGACTTTAGACTGTTGCTATGCTGTTGTCAGGGTGTTTTTGAGTGGTTTAGACTGTTGCTATGTAGATACTATGAGTTGCTTTAGACTATTGCTATGCCATTGCTAGGCTGCTCTGAGTGTCTTTAGACTGTTACTATGCTGTTGTCAGGGTGCTCTGAGTGTTTAGATTGTTGCTATGCTGTTGCTAGGGTGATATGAGTGACTTTAGACTGTTGCTATGCCATTGCTAGGGTGTTATGAGTGGGTTTTAGACTGTTGCTATGCCATTGCTAGGCTGCTCTGAGTGGCTTTAGACTGTTGCTATGTCGATACTAAGGTGCTATGAGTGGCTTTAGACTGTTGCTATGCCATTGCTAGGCTGCTCTGAGTGTCTTTAGACTGTTGCTATGCTGTTGTCAGGGTGTTCTGAGTGTTTAGATTGCTGCTATGCTGTTGCTAGGGTGATATGAGTGACTTTAGACTGTTGCTATGCAGTTGCTAGGGTGATATGAGTGGCTTTAGACTGTTGCTGTGCAGTTGCTAGGGTGCTCTGAGTGTTTTTAGACTGTTGCTAGCTTAGCTAACTAGTTGATAGCTTAGTGAAGCAGCAACACACCTTTGCTTAACAAGACAGAAGATTTAACAAATCTTTCAGGACTAGGTACAAGCTAAAGTTTAATACAAAGGGTTAAAGGTTTGTTCAAATCACTAACACTAAATATATTTTTATTCAATGTTGACTAAGTAAAATGACTGGAGTAGGAAATCAAAGAAACAAGTGAAAGTAACTAAGTTTTGTGTGTATTTGTATTTGTGTTACAGAGGGCTGTTTGCTAGTCACTACACAGAAACACACTACCTGGAGGATGGAAGTGCTGTCACCACCTCACCGAATGTCAAGGTAAGATCACAAGCAACCGCTGCTTCCATCTCAATTTAACCCAACGCCTACAGAACACATGGCAATGTGCACTTCCTGTAACAAACCCCTTTTATTTCATTTGAGCTATATATATGTATATATGTGCGTGCGTGTGTGTGTTTTTGAGACATATCGCCTTCAGTGATGTAAAGCATATATTTTAAACTCATGACGCAAAGCCCACATTTCTTTCCTGTATATGCTCATTTCAGACCTTCTATTTGATCTAAACCAAACCTGCGGTTAAGAACCAGTCTTATCAGTGATCTCCGCCCTCACGACAGCTGGATGATCTTGTGTCAAAAGCTTTAGAGAAGAGGTGGTCAAGCGAGGGCCACCGGGAGTGCAGAAACCACCCATGATGCACCTCTGTGTGTTTTAAGTGTTTCGATTGCAGCTCAGATTACTATTTAGAGTAACAGACACATTGAGGCCTGAAGGCATGTAAGAGAAAACCTCTGAGGAGCACCTCTGGGTCACTGAACCTGTCTTCCTCAATCTGCTCTCCAGCGGACTGCCGGCTTCCCACGCCAGACAATTTGAGCCAAACTCTTTATGAAAAGAAAACATGTGCTATCAGATATACAGCAAAGGCACCGGACAAGGCAATTACATCATTACTGTTGCTCCTAGTTCGTGTTAGAGATTTAAACAAACTTTGAACCTTTTGTATTGAGCTTTTGCTGGTATCTAAAGAAAGGTGTGCTGTTACTTCACTTTAGCTCAGAGCAAACCAGCAATGGCATAGCAACACTCTTAAGCCACTCAGAGCACCAAGCAACAGCATAGCAATGGTCTAATCCACTCAGAGCACCTCAGTAATGATATAATAGGGTCAGTTAAGCACTAGATGTTTCACAACACCGGAGGGTGAGATTTCATAAACCATTGTGACTTTTTCAGCATATTCAGCAGATTTTCTCAGCAGTGTGAGGCAATAAGCACCCCTGCTTTGTTTGGATGGGAAAGGAGAGTTCAGGTCATCCAGAAACAGCAGTGCTCCTCGACCTGGATGTCATCAGAGGGAGCAGTGCTGAGTTTGGGCTTCGTAAACTGATTTGGGATTTTGGAACACAAAATAAGACAGATGCTCTGTCAACCTGAGTGCAGAAATTGATGTTTCTCACATACACATAAAGACAAATTCCAGTTTTATTGTGTAGGTTTTGGGAGATTGTTCAGAAGAATTACATTACTTTACTTGATGATTCGATATTCATTATTTTCTCTTATTATTTGGAAATTGATAGACGAAGTCAGAGTATTCTGAATTCTAATGAGGTATGTATTTATTTATTTATGCATTCATTTGTGCATTTAAAATTTATACTTTTAATGCAAATTAAGTCAATGTGGATTAAAAAGTCTTCCAATTGATATATATATATATACAGTATATATATATATATATATATATATATATATATATGTGTGTGTGTGTGTGTGTATATAGCATCAAATGACTAAATGTATATCAAATGTTTATTATTATTATTGTTGTTGTGGTTGTCGTTATTATTATTTTTCAATTGGCTGATGCATTTATCCAAACTAACATTTATTGCATTGAAGGTTCATGCATTAACTGGGAATCAAACCCAGTGACTGGGACTGGGATGCAATGTGGATTATCCAATTGATATATATATATATACAGTATATATATATATATATATATATATATATATATATGTGTGTGTGTGTGTGTGTATATAGCATCAAATGACTAAATGTATATCAAATGTTTATTATTATTATTGTTGTTGTGGTTGTCGTTATTATTATTTTTCAATTGGCTGATGCATTTATCCAAACTAACATTTATTGCATTGAAGGTTCATGCATTAACTGGGAATCAAACCCAGTGACTGGGACTGGGATGCATCCAGCTCTGTATTTTCACATTGTTATGTTTCATCATTTTCATGTATAAAAAACTTAAGCAGTCACATGCATATATCAGCCATGCAGTGCATGACTCATTTCTACCATTGCATGATATATCATACAGGCCTGGCCCTAAAACAGCATTTAACAGCACTGATCAAGTTCTACAGTAATTGATGTATTTGCTGCATCCAAACATTTGTGCACCAGGCAACAGGACGGCATGTTTTGTGCTGTAAACGGGATGAATTGTGCCGATCTGATGGTATCCAGGGCCCAGATGGAGTGTATTCACTCACAGTGTTGCGAGTTCTGTTCCAGAAATACTTGAGGAGTGTGTCTGTTCTCCCAGACCTCCTCCGCCTTTGATTATGTCTGTTTTACGGTTGTGTGTGCGCTGCCCTTATTTCATCCTGAAGCAGAACTCCTCTGAGGCCCATTTGGACTCACTCATGGACTCCTGTATCGCCATTCGGACGCTGCCCAACAACCGAGAAGGGCTTAAATCGTCAGTATATTACGGCGATTAGGAATGACTTGGAACAGGAGTGTCAAACTCATTTTAGATCGTGAGACAAGTTTTTATTGGTTAAACCTCATGGACTCGCTGAAAGTGTGTTTGTGAAATCCAAATTCAGCTTTAGATCACAAATAGCTTATATACGCAGTTGGCAAATATTAATCAAAACGATATTGGCGTGAAAAATATAAATTTCTATCTGTTTTTATAGCTTTAGCTTTAATAAGCATTAAGAGAGTAAAAATGAAGACTTTTAATAAACTGATAATAGTTATTGTTGTTATCAGTATTATGTATTTATTTATTTAGAATTATATTAAATAACATGGTGGAGAAAAAATAACAAATTAACACTTTTAGAAATGGGAATGAAGGATTATTTTTATAATTATTATTTAGAACGTTGACATCAGCAAACCGCTCACCCACACGATGCCATACACGCCGTCTGCCATCTTCCCTGTACAGTGAAAACCGGGATTCATCCGTGAAGAGAACACCTCTCCAAAGTGCCAGACGCCATCGAATGTGAGCATTTGCCCACTCAAGTCGGTCACGACGACGAACTGCAGTCAGGTCGAGACCCCGATGAGGACGACGAGCATGCAGATGAGCTTCCCTGAGACGGTTTCTGACAGTTTGTGCAGAAATTCTTTGGTTATGCAAACCGATTGTTGCAGCAGCTGTGCGGGTGGCTGGTCTCAGACGATCTTGGAGGTGAATATGCTGGATGTGGAACCCATCCTGGGCTGGTGTGGTTACACATGGTCTGCGGTTGTGAGGCCGGTTGGATGTACTACCAAATTCTCTGAAACGTCTTTGGAGATGGCTTATGGTAGAGAAATGAACATTCAATTCATGGGCAACAGCTCTGGTGGACATTCCTGCAGTCAGCATGCCAATTGCACGCTCCCTCAAAACTTGAGACATCTGTGGCATTGTGCTGTGTGATAAAACTGCACATTTTAGAGTGGCCTTTTATTGTGGCCAGCCTAAGGCACACCTGTGCAATAATCATGCTGTCTAATCAGCATCTTGATATGCCACACCTGTGAGGTGGATGGATTATCTCGGCAAAGGAGAAGTGCTCACTAACACAGATTTAGACAGATTTGTGAACAATATTTGAGAGAAATAGGCTTTTTGTGTACATAGAAATAGTCTTAGATCTTTGAGTTCAGCTCATGAAAAATGGGGGCAAAAACAAAAGTGTTGCGTTTATAATTTTGTTCAGTGTAAATTGCACTTTTAGAAACCGGTGGAGTTTAGTATGCTCTTACTCATCATGTCTCAGCTGTGGCCCGCAGTATGAAGCGACCAAGTGATTTAACACTGGACCTGAGGCTGACCGCACACCATCTGTTAGCCTTTACATCATTGACATCGGCATGATCAGCTACATGTCTTCAGAATATAGTGCTTTCAGTGCCAGCTTCTGGCACTTTATGCATTTTATCATGCTTATCCTTAATCAGAATTATAGGCTAAAGAAAATCTGGCCCTTTTTTAATAGCATCCATAAAATGTTACTCCTGCCTTACAGATATTAGTTTGTTTTATTTAATATTGTGCCATGTTAAATTCCATTTCACAGAACTATGCATGTTTTCATGAAATTTCAGTTCAGAGAATGCTGAAAGATTGCTAATTATAATGCAACAATTTTTGTCTGGGTCTGATTATAGGGTATTATGAAAGCATTTGCACTGCAATTTTATTAACCATTATTTTTGCATGTGTTCATTTACAAGATGCTTGTTTCTTGAATACTGTGTTAATATGAGTTAAGTTAATATGAGTGATGAGAACTCGTTATTTTCAAATCCAATTTGCTGTATACACAGAGTTATGATTTTAATTCAGCTGGCAGGTCTGTGGCTTTGTGTGTTTCGTTGTTTATGGAAGTGGGATGTCTTTTTTTGTCCGAAGGCTGGCAGGAAACAATGCTGTGATGGACACCATAGCTCAGGGCGCTGTGTGTTCTGATGGATGTCCTCATGTTCCTTTGAATGAGACTCAAAGATATATGGAGGGCTGTAGTTTATGGCAGGACGTGCTCTTAAAATAACCCCAATGCCACTGGTGTGCTGGGATGAATATGAAATAAAATGAGCTTTATTAAGCAGATAGTTCTCGCTGTAAAATCTGACTGGATGAGCCACATTTGAACGCATGATACAGTGCAGATGCTATATTAAAGACAAGTTACTACATTGATCGGCAACCATCAAAACAGCCTACCGTTTTCCTAATGAGTTGTTTATTGGAAATATTAATCAAAACAATATTGACAAGAAAAAGTGGAAATGTATTGCTTGCTCTGACTGGATTTAAATTTGATAAGCCTTTAATAAGCATTAAGAAAGTAAAAATGTAGTAAGTAAAATGTATATTTTTGACAGTAAAAAAAATAAAGCCTGTAAAAATGTTTAACTGATAATAGTTATTGTATGGTTTTGGTATTATTTATTCATTTACTTAGAATAACATTGAATACCATAAAGGTGGTTGACAAAAATGTATTAAATCAAAATGGTATAAATTAACAGTTTTAGAAACAACAACCCTAGCTTTCCTGCTTTTACTGCTTATTAATCAAAACAATATTGACACAAAAAAGTATAAATATCTCTCTGATCTTGCTGGATAGCTTTAGCTTTAATAAGTCTTAATAAAGTACAAATTAAATACTTTTAATAATGATAAACTGACAGTAAGTTAGTAGTTATTTTTATTTATTTATTCATTATTATATTGGTGTAAATTAATATATTTATAAACTAAAAAACATAGCTTTCGTTAAGTGATTATTGTTTACTGGAAATATTAATATAATGTTTCATTTTATTTTAGTTAAAAAATACAATTTAATTAAAATGTTTTATTAATATTTCCAGTCAAAACAATATTGACAAGAAAAAAATACAAATTTCTCTCTTTTCTTGCTGGATAGATTTAACAAGCTTTAATAAAGTAAAAATTGTAAAGTAAATTTTTGAAAGTAAAAAAAAAAGACTTAATGATAAATATTAATATAATTTTTAATTTTATTTTATTTAAAATATAAAATGTAATTAATATTTCCAGTCAAAACAATATTGACGAGAAAAAATACAAATTTCTCTCTTTTCTTGGTGGATAGATTTAATAAGCTTTAATAAAGTAAAAAATTTTAAGTAAATTTTTTAAAGTAAAAAAAAAGACTTCATAATGATAAATTGATGTAATTAATTAATTAATTAAATAATTTATAATACTTTTAATAATGATACATTGATAATAAGTAGTAAAATAATTACCAGTACATTAAATTTTTTATTATTTTTTTTACATTTTTTATACTGCCTCCGCTTCACAGATTTATAAATGCTTTGCCCCTTTTACCATGGTGAAATAACTGTATCATTGCTTTCTTTGCTGTTTTCGTGATATGTTTACACTGTGGTTACTGGATAAAATCTAAAAACACCCAACAGGAAAAGGCGAAAAATTGAAATGTCTTTTAAAAAAAGAACGAAAAGGTAAAAAAATTTGGGCCAGTGCTGAAAACAGGACAGTATTCATTCTGTGGTTTGTGCAGACTGCAGATTGTTGTGAAGCTCCAGAGAATCTCTGCCAGAGCCGTTCCCAGTCCTAACCAGACAAGTGCTGCTCACTTCCTCAGACAACAAGAGCCTCTCATTGTGAACAAACACACGGCAAAGCTTTAGGAGCGACAGTCGCATTTAAATGATGGCGTGAATCCCTGAAATCAATATTCGCTATGTGCAGAATACAGAAGCAGATCTTTGCATACGGTCAAGAGTTAGCCTAAATGTCGATAGCTTTACCGTGCTTTCAGATTTGATTATCTCATTCACAGTGCTTCGTTTGATTGCAGTTTATTCCATTATCATAAAATGAAAGTAATCAGTCATATGCTTTGTTTTCCTTCAGAATTTCTCTGTTTTTGACTCGATTAAAAAAAAAATCTGACTATTATTTCATATGTCAGGCTTTGCAGGGTTAATGGACTATTTAATGATAAAATGTGAACAATAGAAATACAGAACGATGAAAATACAGAAACTGTTCCTTTTGAATCTATCGTGTTAGCCAACAGAAATTTGTATTTAATCAGTTTTATTCAATTACATGTAAAACAGCAAGAATTATGAGTGTTTTGTGAGTATGAGCATTCAGTTTGATCATTTGTCCCGAATTTGCATTAAAAATACATTCATGTACTGATGTGACCTCTGAACTTCCTGTCTTTTGTGTCCCAGATTCACTGCTACTATCATGGTGAGGTGGAGGGTCACTCGGGGTCAGAGGTCAGCCTCAGCACCTGCACAGGACTCAGGTGAGGGACAATCTGTACGTTAACTTCACCTCACCGCCTTCCCATGGTGCACTGAGCTCGGGGACCGAAGTTACATCAGGAAGCGCATGATGAAAGGGCATTTTAATCACGGCATGTGAAGTTCAGCATCCTCAAGAGACACGACACGCTTCATGTTTTAATTATGAAAAAGTATGCTTAGGTTTGATTCATTACCCGAGAAGGGACATTCAGATAGTTTCAAAAGCGTGTGATGTCGCATGGGAACACTGCTAGTCAAGTCACATTTTCTTCTGTAGCGCTTTATACAATACAGATTGTTTCAAAGCAGCTTCAAAGTAATAAACAAGAAAATTACAGTATCAATGTTGAAATGTTCTTCAGTTATAAAACAAATACAGTATTAGTCGTAAAGCAGCTCTAAAATGTCAATAGTGTCATAATTATATAAAAAATATATTTTCCGTAGCCTAAATATATGCTAAATATATGTTGTTAACAGTGAAGCTCAATGAAATATATTTTTGAAAATGTAAATTATATTTGGTTTCAAACCTTAATTTACAAAAATATATATTTATACAAATATATATTCTTTGGTTCTCGAATCTGATTTGCTGAGAGGAGTGCGATATTCAATACTGCTATATATATATATATATATATATATATATATATATGTATGTATGTATGTATGAAGACTTGAGATGCAAAAACCTCTAATTTATTCTTTCAAAAATAACCAAAAAGTGGCCAAATATTTTTTTTTTTTAGCAAATTATTTTTTTGGCCTTTTTTTTTTTTTTTTTTTTTTTTTTAAAAATATTTACAATTATATTTGAAAATATAATTTTTTAAAAATATTTACAATTATATTTGAAAATATAATTTTTTTACTTTACAGGTCAGTTAAGTTGGTTCAGTTTAGTTCAATAACAGCGTGCAGCGTTTATAAAGCAAACTCAATTCAACAGTTCAGTGTTGATTCAGTTTAGTTCAATAATAGTGCAAAGTTCATCAAATTAAGAAACAAGCTTAACTCAGCTGTAAAGAAGCTCTACAGAAAACAATAACGACGTCAAGTCAGATCGGTGTTGATTCAGTTGCATTCAGTTTAATAGCAGTGTTGCAGAGCTCATCAATTATGAAACAAATTCGATTCAGCTCTAAAGGAAGAAAGGGATTGTCCTATAATAGCTTCTGTCAGAGCATCACCATAATAACTTTATATTAACTGATCATGCGCCACAAGAGATGCATAAAGTTGATTTTCACACTTTGACCTGTGGAGAATGAACGCGGCCCAGACATGCAGGATTTATGACTGCGATAAAACGTCAAACGCGTCTCCGTCCCCAGAGTCACGCCGCTTATTGTTCATCTCTTTCTTTCACCTTGACTCAGTTTTTTGCCGCAGTAACCTGTCTCTCTCCACCTGGCAGACAGACACAGCGCAGGTCTCCTCCGACAGAAGCGGCCAAAACAAATTGCTGCTGCTTTAGTTTGGCAGCGTCCAGGGTTTCCACGAGGATCTCATGCGGTGGAGAATGTAGTTTTGAAACTTCTGGAAAAGCCCAAAGCGCTGGCCGTTTCCCAGCAAAGGAGAATGTCACTTAAATTCAGCGTACGACTCGAAAGTGTGAGAAAGGTTTGCGAAGGCCGATCCAAGAACCACAGAGTGGTAATATTAGAGCTCGGGGGAAGATTTATTTAGCCAAATATCCTACAAAATGAATCGTCTGCTGACCAACAGTGGCTTGGATGTTGAACTAAGCCGCTTTCCAAAACGTCACGCTGTCTTATTTTGTGGGAAAACGAGAAACCACTTCCTCTCATAGAAGAGTTTCTCTCGCCGTTTTGTGTTAATGTTGTAAAAGCTTCTTGTGTCTCACTCCTTTTCTGTGTCTGCAGTTCCAGATAATCTTAAATGATTAGTGCATCTCAGCATTTGAAAGCACATTTTGGGAAAAGTGCTGTTCAAATAAGTGCAAATATTTCACATGGTCTCTAAATTAACATGAGGTCATGAAATCTGCAAGCACAATAATTAGAGTACAAATGCGTTTCATAAATGCTACAAATTTAGTTCATAGCAGGAGGTAAAATTGTTATGCTTTCTAACTTAACAGCTTGAAAACATTGTATTTACTTCCTGATTAGCAACATTTCCAAGAGATGCTCATTTAGAAACGAATTGTGTGAGACTTTTTGACAAAATATTGTAGACTATTTACATGTCTAGTGCAATATGTGCATAGTCCAGACAATAGACCACAAATAGATCAATTAAATATATTTAAATATGATTTTTCTCCACATTTTGAATATAGATTTGTATATTTCACTGTTAATGATGAAACAGGATGAAATTGCTAATTGAAATAGTTTGTTGATAAAATTGGTGTGTTTTACTGTCTAGCAAGATTATGAAAATATAAAAAGAAAAAATGAGGGTAAAGTTGCATGTCACGTTATAATAGAATTTAACAGATGTAGTTCCGCATAAATGTTACAAATTTAATTCATAAAATACTGTATTTGCTTCCTGATTAGCAACTAGAAATAGTTGCTAGACAGAGATTGTGAGAGATTCTATTGTTTTACAAAATACTATAGACTATTTTAATAGTATTTTGTTTATTGATAAAATTAGTTTTTCACTGTCCAGCCAAATTATGAAAATATGAGAGAAAAAAAAATGTCAGTAATGTTACATGTCAAGTTAACTGCTCATATTCCATGTAAACAAATACAAAAATGTTCTATTTTATTGTTCTTTCTAATTATTTCTTGATGTGTTTACATGACGCGTGCATAATGGTGATATGAACTAATCTAGATGTTAACTGAATGCTGTTCATGGTCTCGTTCAACAGGGGACTGATTTCACTTGAACATAAAGTGTATATACTGGAGCCGATGGAAGAGGGAAACACACATCGGCTTTACAGAGGAGACGATCTTAAACTCACCCAGGGAACCTGCGGACACGGTCACAACATTTCATACCCTACAGAGATGACGAACACTACAGGAGCCGTCTTCAGCTCTCACAGCAGGAGGGTGAGCTCAAAAAAACCTCAAACAGCATCCAGTAGTATTTTTTACATGCAGAAACATTTGCAATCTGTTTAACTAATGTGACATATTTCTGAATAAAACTGACTATTTAGCTGTAACCTGTGTATGGCTGGGCTTTTATCCATCAAACTCAAATTAGCAAACTAACATTCAGTATAATAAAAGTTCCTCATTTATACTTATTGAATGTCCTGCTTACTGTGAAATACATCACATTATGGAAATAAATATAAAATGTACTGCATTTACACTATCCAGTCTATATTTATTATCTTTTTGCTTCGTTTTTTTTTATTTTCTTTAAATTTTTTAATATATATATTAGGGCTGTCAAATCGATTAATCGTGATATCTCATCCAAAATAAAAGTTTGTGTTTACATAATATATGTGACCCTGGAGCACAAAAGCAGTGTTAAGTCGCTGGGGGATATTTGTAGCAATAGCCAACAATACATTGTATAGTCAAAATTATCGATTTTTCTTTTATGCCAAAAATCATTATAATATTAAGTAAAGATCATGTTCCATGAAAATATTTTGTAAATGTCCTACCGTAAATATATCAACTTAATTTTTGATTAGTAATATGCATTGCTAAGATCTTCATTTGGACACATTTTCGCGATTTTCTCAGTGTTTTGATTTTTTTGCACCCTCAGATTCCAGATTTTCAAATAGTTGTATCTCGGCCAAATATTGTCCTATCCTAACAAACCATACATCAATGGAAAGCTTATTTATTCAGATGATGTATAAATCTCAATTTAAAAAAATTTACCCTTATGGCTGGTTTTGTGGTCCAGGGTCACATACTGTATGTGTGTGTACTGTGTATATTTATATGTTTATATAAATACACACACATACAGTACATGTATATATTTAAGGAACATATTTCAAAATAAAACAAAATGAAACTATATATATATATATAACATTTTGAAATATCCCTAATTACAGAAATAAAGTGGCTTGCTTTTAAAGCTGATTTCTCAACCAGCCCAACACAGTAACACTGACTCAGCCAATAGCATGAGTTTGGGGCGGGACTATCTGCTTGCCTTACCAATGACAGACAGGTGGGTGTTTAGTGAAGCTTCTGATGCACGAGGTCACAGATCACTCTTTGTTTAAGGACACCCAAGGACACTTTCATTCTCTCACTGTGGGCACTGAAGTGTTTTATATGGCAGGAATGATTGCTAAATGTTGACATTGAGTTCTGACAGATCATCTCTTTCAGAATCTCAATACAAACTAACTTTTTACACACTGGAGCATTTTATGAGATTCAGAAACAGGTCTTATTCTCCCCTGAAAAGGGTTTATCCAACAGCATGTTCTTTACCTGATGTTGTTGCTGACTGAATTAAGCACACGTTTCATTAGTTCAGCCGATACTCTCTCGGTGTGGAAGTCAAGTGCTTATCAGCTTCCCTCTTCAAAGTGAAAGAGGTGAAACACTCTTCTAGGCCGTACGACCCAAATTCTTCTCAACACGAAACCTGACACAGATGAGTCCGGCCTTTAATTTCCATTAATAGAAGACCAGTCAGTGGAAACAATGAGAGACAGCTTCCATTGAGAGCGAGAGGACTGATGCTGAATGCAAGAAGACGAGGGTCACCTTCATGATAGTCTGTCCTAGCTGGACTCTCGCATTTATAGTGTCATCTGGCACTGATTAGATCCTGTTGCATGTGTTTAAACAGCCTGTATAAGATCTGATTTGTCATGTGGTTCTAAATCCGATATTTATCTGATATCCGCATGACAAATTTGCCTGAACAGAGGGCCAGTGGAGCAGGCGTGCACTTCAGTTTGGGGATTTACTAGTTTTCATGAATCATAACGCTCTTCTTTTCACACTCCAGCTGTGAACTGAAAAGTAGGGTTATGAAGGGTTATGAAGACTTTACTAGAAATAAATTGTACAAATGCTACTTTATATAATTTATATGCAAAATGAATGGAGGCTTATAATACTTCATAAGTCTTTATAAAGTAAGCAGTTGTCGCATACATGTATAACGAGAAAGCCATTGATGAAAACCAAAGAATGACCAATTAAAGAGTTATATGAACATAAAACAAAATGAGAAATGGAAAAACTTTTTCCCTCAACTGTAGGTCTCAAATATTGTAAAGGTTTACTTCACATTTGACTTCTTATCTTGCACTATACATATTTTATTTTATTTTTAGAAAACTTAAATAAATATTTCTAAAATATGTTATTGTTTTTAAATATTTGTTTCTGTTTTTAATATTGTATTTGAAAAATATTTATAAAATATTTTATTGTTTTAAAAAATTAGTTTATTTACTATAATCTTTCTATATCAGTTTTTCTAGATCTAATAAATTTTTTTTTTTTTAATGAGTCAGATTGGATAGGAAAATCAGTCAGCAAGTCTACACAAAAAGAAGCTCAACTAGAAGTGAGTTTTCATTTATATAACATTTGCTTTCACTAATTATGTGTCCATTTGTGTCATTTCAGTCATTGATGACTTCAGTATAATTCTACAATGTTGAATATAGTGAAAACGAAGAATGACTAGGTGAGAATTACTTGAAAGACTCTTCATTTGAAAAGAGACATTTATAACATCTATATAAAACAAGTGGGTCTTTCACATGAGTAAATGAGATGAGCAATCCGAAGGCCGTTAAAGTGAACGGTCTCCTGGAAAGCACATTGTGGTGGATCAGATGTAGTTTAAGGGCATTGCTGAACGCAGAAGTGGATGTTCAATCACACACTGCTCTGTTAATAGAGGGCACATTTGGAAGAGAGCTGAAGACGTCACCTCTGTGCCTTAAAGGCCATATAGACTCATAGCAAAATGGGCCTTGGGAGATTTTATAAAAGCGTCTTGAGTGCAGGCTCTATTAACTGTGTCCTTCAGAAGAAGAGGGTGAAATTCTCTCTTAATCATGTTCTTTCTCTCATTTTTTCTCTCTGCAGCATAAAAGAGACGCCCAGAGCAGCACCAAGCATGTGGAGTTGATAATCGTCGCAGACAACCGCGAGGTAATGACGCTCTTGACCTCACACACATCTCCAACCTTCCATCATCTAATTCAGCGGCTCTAAACTAGTGGGTCGTGACCTAAAAATGAAACACAGATCTGTTTTTTTACTTGGGTCACAGACATCAACGATGCTCAGCGCAAATGATAGCTTACCATATAATGGTGCTCATCCTCAAAACCCAGAACAAAACTCCAAAAGGTAAAAGAAAATTAGTTCCAGACATGAAATATTGATTTGCATGCAGTGTGGTGTTTTATAAGCTGATTGGCTGACAAGAGCAGGAAATCATCAATTTAAAAAAAGCATTAGAAACCAAATATCTAAGCACATGGGGGGTGGGGGGATGCATAAAAAGGCAAAAGAAAAATTTTATGTAAGCATCAAAACAATGCCCTACCATATTGTAACACATCAAAGCAGTCAATACAGCACAGTCGAGAATAACTTAAAGGTCCCATATTTTACACCTTTCTTGTCCTTAAGAATATATATTTGCGGTATAAGTACCAAAAACCATCTCAATATATTTTTACAGCTCCTTTCTCAGGAGCTCTGCCGAGAACAGGTCGATTTTGGCCTGTCTAATGAATATTCATGAGCCTCTCTTCTGATTGGCCTGTTGTTTTCTGAGTGACGCACAGCCAGGCCAACCACAGGTAACTAGGGTCAGCCGACATCACAGCGCTAGCTGGAGGCAGCAAAACAAAGGGGAAACTGGAGGCGGCCCATTCAAACCAGCGCAGATTCGGCTACATAAGGAGCTTAAAATATCATCTTGTTGTGATGTTGGGTGCCAGAATCGTCGTAATACAGCCTCAAATTAGAAATTTGATCACATATCTGCTGCCACTGCCTGACAAAAAACCAATGACAGCTGTGGTTAAACGCGATAAAACGAGCAGACTGGACAGAAACGATCATCAAAAATACTCCGTTTGCAGCGCACACTTCTTATCAGAAAAGGTTCAATAAAGTATTGTCTTTTGTTGTTATGGGCGCGTCTACAGATTTCTTGCCATATGTCTATGTTTCTTGCATCTCACGACTATGTCGTGTATGAAATAATGTCTGTGTGCATGTGTGTAAAACAACAAACTGACGATTTATATATAATCATTTATAATTGTATATACATTGTTGTGATTAATTGAGGCTGAAACAATAATGTAGCTGTAAAAATAGTTGCCTGCTGAAATTTAAATGTATATACATCTTCATCATGACTAGATAGACACGGTGAGTTTGTCTTTACTATACACGTTAGATGTGATCCACCTCATAGTAGCAATCCTGTCAGATCGTCCATCCTATGAGTGAGAGTGTAACGTTACAGTATCTGGTTTCGTGGTTAAAGTTAACCTTTTCGACATGTTTCCGCGATGTTGTCTGAGGGTTTGGCAAAAGAAGAGTGGGACGATGGGTGGTTCTCAGGTGGTGACTGAAGGCAGTGACTGTGTA